TTTCAAACAAAACAAATAGATATTTGATACTACATTTATAGTGTTCATTCAATTTAATAGCACGAAGAAATATATTGAATAATTCTTTGGAACGAACTTGTTCTCATCTTTCGCAATACTTGATACTCAAAGACATGTACTAGTATTTGATTTTCAAAATTGAGAATCACCAAAATTTTATTTATGTATAGATTGTCTGAGAATTTAGTTTACAGATATTCATACTTAAAAAAAATTCTTAGCTTCCTTTCGTAATCAAATTTCATAACAAACTTATTAAAACTCTTCCGAATTACTTTTCGTTTCAAAATCTTATGTTCCGTAGTAAACCAAGACATTTTTATTTATTTTTCTTAGAATTTTGATTTATTTGAGAATAAGAGTAAATGGATGAGCGAAGAAATCAGGCTTATTCTCGCTAATTCATCTATCATTTCATACAAAATTAATTTATTAATGCGTTCACTACATCCGAAAGACGTATAAACGCAGTTAATACGAAAAACAATTCTTGAAAATTTATAGTTTTTAACGTTTGAACGAAAAGTTCGTGTCTACACTATTAATACCATATTGATAGTCTAAAGTTTGTTCTATTTTCTATATAAAGATCATCAATTTTCATTCAAAATTAGTAGATCTATTATTGATTTTCTAAAAAGAAACTGATCTTTTGAGCTATGATGGTTTTCTCTCTTGGAATAATGTTTTTCTTTTCTCAAATTCATTATTAAGTTTCTAAAAAGAAAAAAAAACTTCAATCTAATTCTCACAAGGTCAAAAATATGAAACACATCTGACTTGTTTTCATCATTAGTCTAGATTTTTGGTAGATTGATGACAATCTACGAATATTCAATACAAGGTCAAGGTATACGTCATAGCATAGTCAGACAAGTTTGAAGTTGGATCACTTCATTTTAATTCAGTTACGTGAAACTATTTTGCGTGTAGATAAGAAGTGATAAAAATGTGAGACAGTTCAACATTTGAGTTTTCTTTTGATCTTTGCAAAGAGCATGTTGAGTTGCATTAGAAAAAATGTATGCTTTTTAAAACGATTCTATCTAACAAAAATATAAGTTACTATTATTTATGGAATAGAATGATCTTTCTCATCTCACGATAGTACCCACTATATTTCTTCATATAGACACTGACTACAATCGATTTCTGTGGCAAACAAATCGAAGATGTCCAAGCATTATATCTGGCTGATGCATTACGACATGACAAAGTGATTTTCATTATCTCTTTACTTTTATCTCATATAAATCTCATTAGTTTTCGTACATAGACCCTAACCACATTGTTTCTTCGCGATAATTTAATCGGACATCAACAAATACAAATTTTGGTTGATGCATTACGAGATCATGCGGTGATTCTCATTATGCCTCTTATCTATTTATCTATAATTTTTCCTATAGACACTTATTACACTTGATCTCCAATCAAATCAAATTAAAGATCTTGGAGCAAAATATCTATCTGATATATTAAGATATAACAAGGTGATCTTTCTGCTTCATTTATTTCTCTCATATCCATAATTTCTACCTTTTCATACAGACACTCACTGCACTCAACCTCGATTGTAATCAAATTGGAGCGCGTGGAGCGCAACATATAGCTAATGCATTACTACATAATACGGTACTGACATTCATTTTCTCTTCTTCTTCTTTTTTTATACATTCATCTACACTTTTTTTCATACAGACACTTGTCACACTAAGTTTTGGCAACAATCGTATCAAAGCTCTTGGAACCAAACATCTAACTGATGCATTACAAACTAATACAGTAATCTTTATTTTCTATTCATCTTTCTCAGATTTGAACATTTTTATTTTTTCACACAGACACTCACCACACTCGATCTGAGGCACAATCAAATAGGAGACATAGGAATACAAAATTTGGCTCATTTATTACGAAATAATATCGTAATCTTCACTTGCTTTTTATCTCTCTCATATCTCTATATGTAATTTTCAAATAGACACTCACCACATTAGATCTTAGTAAGAATTCAATCGGAGATATTGGAGTGCAACATCTAGCTGATGTGCTACAAATTAACACAGTAAATATATTTCTTTCTTTATCTCTCTGTTGCAATTTTTACACAGACACTGACTACACTATGTCTTCAACAAAATCTAATTGGTGTTCTTGGAATACAACATTTGGCTGATGCATTACAAAAGAATATAGTGATCTTCATTTTCTTTTTATCTTATACATATATTCATATGTGATTTTTCGAACAGACACTCACCACCTTATATCTTTCCTCGCATCATATTGGACCTGTTGGTGCACAATATCTAGCAGATGTGCTACGCTATAATACAGTAACTTTTGTTTTTTTCTGATATTACACTACTGGCCATAAGTCTCTGAACAAGTGAAAATTCAAGTAAAGTTGAACCGTTTCCCATCAAATTTTTACCAGAGACAGAGCTCGAACACTGTGATCGCAAGCATCAACCTGATCTCAGTCCACTGTAATACGTGGGAGTTCGTAGTCGAACACTGATTCCACTCATGATTGCTATTATCTAAGCTATGCAAGCACTTTCAATTCTGTAGAATCTATCATTCGAAAGCGCTATTTTTCAGCTTTATTTGATATACTTTAGGTGATAATTATAGCCCCAGTCATCTACTATCTTGTGGAGAAAGAACAGGTCGATCCATTGTGGTACAAATGTGTAGTGAACTATGCACTAACGATGTCATTCCAGCGCAGTGATACTAGTTTAGTACGAGCTATGACTCTGAAAGTTTCAGAATACACTAATAGACATCTGAGAGTACTGTAAGAAAAATTTCAAGAAAATCGGCTAATCAAAAGTAACGACTTGAAAATCACTGAAGTTGAGATGCCATTAACATTCATTTAGAAAATCATATCTTAGCAACAGAAAAAACTTTTCTAATAAAAATGATATCGAAGAGAGCTGAGACATAGAGCTTTCCAATGATAGATTCTACAGAATTGAAAGTGCTTGCATAGCTTAGATAATAACAATCGTGGGTGGAATCAGTTTTCGACTAACGTAAGAACTCCCTCGTATTACAGTGAACTGATGTCGGGTTGGTGCTTGTGATCACAGTTTTTCGAGCTCTACCTCAGACAGAAATTTGATGGGAAACGGTTCAACTTTACCTGAATTTTTACGTGTCCAGGGACTTATGGTCAGTAGTGTATATATCAGCACTCTTTCATATAGACACTTGTCACTTTATACTTTGGTAATAGCCGTATCGGAGATTTAGGAGCACAATATCTAGCAAATGTGTTACGAAATAATTCGGTGATTCTGGTGTTTTCTTCATCTTTCTCATATATACTTCATTTTATATTACAAACAGACTCTCACTGCACTCAATCTTGAAGGCAATCAAATTGGAGCTCATGGAGTTCAATATCTGGCCGATGCATTGCAGTATAATTGATTTTATTTTGTCTAAGATCGAGTCCGATGCATTGCAGTATAATACGGTTAACTTCATTTTTTTCTTCGTCTCTCTTATTTCTATTTCTATTGTTTGATACAGACACTCGTAACACTTTATTTGGGTAGTAATGGAATTCAAGCTCTTGGAGCACAATATCTAGCTGATGTACTACGTAGTAACACAGTAATCATCATCCTTTCTTCGTTTTCTGTGATTTACTATTTTTCAATTTCCTGCACAGACACTTACTACCCTTAGTCTCGATTGTAATGAAATTGGAGCTCAGGGAGCCCAATATTTAGCTGATACATTGGAACATAACATGGTGGTCATCATTTTTTATGTATCTCTGTCATATATTCATATGCATTGTTTTTAAACAGACACTTATCGGACTCGATCTTAGACAAAATAAAATCAAATCTTGTGGTGTGGGATATCTAGCTAATGTTTTAAGAAGTAACACGGTAACCTTCTTCATCTTTCTGTCTTCATATTTTTCATATCACTACTCTCATTTTTTTTTCATATAGACACTAATAGCACTCAATATCAGTGATAATCGAATTACAACTCGAGGAGCCCAATATCTACTTGATGCATTGCAACATAACACGGTGATTCTCATTTTCCCTTTATCTGCTTCTCTCGTATAATTAATCATTGTTAAATATTTGAATAGACACTTACGACACTAGAGATCACGAAAAATGAAGTTGGAATCATATTGTTCGATCATTTAAATGAACTTATTGAGCGAAATCAACAGGGAAAAAAGATGAACATGAATGTTTATAATGCTATAGCAAAAAATGAATACGAGTAGTTGAATTTTGTTTATCTGCTCTTTCTAAATAATTTTTTTAATATTCAAATAAAAATTTTGATTTCCGATATTTGATAATTATGAAATTTTATTCGTTTTTGTACTTTAAAATCATCTGATCATAACAATATTTCTTTTGAGTTGTACTTTATTAGTGATTTCTATGAAGCATTATCACGTGTTAATGATTTTTTTCATATGGATGCAGTCGTGTCAATACAGAATATATTAAATTTTTGATTTCGAGTTGTTGTCAACTTTGTTTGTTGTATGACTTGAAGGAATGTTGATGTTAGTATTTGATTAGGGATTCTTATGGATCTAGATTTAATTATAGAATAATCAAAAAGTTTCAAAGATTTCTGTTTCGGGAAACTGTGTGTACTTGTTTTTGATTAATAATAAATTGAATATTCCATTGTAAATGTTAGATGAGAAATATTGAACTATTCTACAATTTGTTTGTCTTGACTAAAACATTTAATAATTATGAAATAAAATTATTTACTTAATATAATAATATTATTGTAAATAGATAAAGTATTATTCTTGTCCATATGATTCATTTAGAAAAGGTCAATAAGGTTATTTATAATTATATAAAGATATGTTTTTCATCATAAAACAAAAACTATATTATTATTTTTTATAATAAAGATTATTTTCGATAAATAATATTTATAAAAGTAAAACTACGTTAATTATGATTCCTCCAACTTCTGATCGTGTCGAATCAGTTACATCAAATGATAAAAATGCTCGAATTTATCAAGAATCAATAAATAGATTAAGAAAAATAATTGAAAAACCTGATGAAGAACGTTTAATGTTAATAGAAAATCGCTTAACAGAATTAAATAATGAATGGGATATTGAACGTTTATTAGAATTTAATGCTTCATCATTATTAATAATAACTGGTTTATTATCATATAT